GATGTAGCACGAGTCTCCAAAGTTAATTTGAAATGACTCAGTCCCTTTTTGGTAGCCTACTATCAAAAGTCCAACTTTCAAGTTTTTATAGAAAAAAAATGAAAAGAGAATAATGATTTTTAGGGTTGCACTGATAGTGCCTATAAAACAAATCCTAGTGCTCTGACAAAGAGAAGTGGTATGGGTAATTCCAGATCAGGAGGACAAAAAGCATTTCTATTTGGCTTTTGAATGAATTATGCATTTTCTTTGCTATGGATTTGTCTTTCTAGTTAGATACTGCTTAGACTTAAATTAAATTGATTTTCAATCTGTTCTCTTAGGGTACGCCAATTTACAGTGGGGCCAGAAGAATCAAACAAACCAGCCTAAAATTAAAAAAAAAATTTCTAGTGGATAATATTCAAAGTGGATAATATTCATGTGTTTAGTCAAGAATTGGCTACAGATAAGAGACTTCTGATTTTGCTCCTGTCCTAGCTCTGTGTGTGTTAAAAAAAACAACAACAAACCACACCGATTCTGCTTGTAGCAAAGAGCTGCTGAGTTACATCTGCTTCTGCCTAATTAACTGTTGGTTGGTGTCAGATGAGAGCTAATTTTGAGATTAAATTGAGGAGCCGGGTGTGTGTCTGTGGCTGGGGGAGGGGTGAGCGGGACCTAAGGTTGCTTGGCTGTTTGTGTAAGATGCACTTAGGGTACTCACAATGTTGTTTTAATCTTATTTTTTACCTTTAAGTAAAAATGATCAATACTGTCCTAAAATATGACCTGTGTAAACACATCATGGAAACTTGTATGTCCCTCTTAGGCACGGTTAATAGGCCTGATCTTGATACCAGTCAGTACCAAGATGCCAGGGGGCCTTTGGGACAAATAGTGAAAATTGCCTGGGAAAGTTAACATTGACTATTAAACAATGTTTGATTCTTTTTTATTTTTTCCCCCAGAGGGAAAAATATGTTATACCTGCCTGGCTGTTAGAATAATGGAATTCCCCCTCCCCCCCATACCCCTCCTTGATGAGATCATTCTCTATCATATACCTGATTTTTAACAATTTGGAGAACCAGTGTGACTTTAAAGAAGAGCAACATTTACCTTTTTAGTCACTTGCTTTGGGACTTCTTCCCTGTCTCGAATCCTCTCTTCTTAAATACCCTTTAGTGATGTGAAAGAGTTAATACATCACCAAAGGTGGTGTACTAATTAGCAGACTCACTGCAGCTGTGTGTATTGACTAGCAAAGGGAGTCTTAGCTGGTTGCTGAATCTAAGGGCTGTCCTCGGGCCCAAATTAACATTTACTTTTTTTTCTTTTTGGCAGATTTGCCTGAAGATCTGGACAATCTTCTTTTTTTTTTGTCATGGACTATTAAAACCTTTGGAGTTCCAATTCTGGTATTTTCCCTTATTATATTTTTAAGATATACGATGTCAGTCTTACTGAAATGTGTTGGTAATAGATATGAATGATGTTTTTGATTGTGGGGTAAGGATTGTGGCAACAGCTTGTCACGAAGGTATATGGAGGCTATTTGTTAGCTATGAAATACGTTTTGTTTTAAAAATGTATGTTCATCTGCTTGTGCAGTCACCCTGCCTGAAAGCAGCCTTGCAGTATTGGATGCTTCTCTGTGGTCTCTCTTCCTGCTTCCTGCATTTGTATTTTGTAGAATCAAATTAGATTCGTTGATTCATCTTGAATAAATGATGAAAGATGAAATAATTACTTGGACCCAGTAAACTGTCTTCTAATGAAATTTTGCCCTAAACCATTTTACTTTGGAAAGGTCAGCTTCCTGTTCTAAACTTTCTAACCCAGAATGATCCTTGTGTTCTGTCGTGAAAATGGTTGCACTTTGATTTCATTCTTACACACACCATGTTATAAGTCTTAATATTTTTGTTAGTGATTTATGTAATGACACAGAGAGACATGCTTATTAGGTTTGCAGATGACATGGATGACAGAATCAAGCAAAGCAGTCTTTAATAGGTTGGAAGATAGCCTCAAACCAACAAAATTAACTTGAACTGTAGTAAAATATAAATCTCAGCATTTAATTTTGCACAAAAAAGGGAATGGAGATTCAGCTTGACAGCATTTTTGGAAGGAGATTTGGGGTTTTTAGTGGGACTGCATGCTTAGCATAGCCAGTGAGTGGCAGGGCTGCTAAGAAAGTTCACGTAACCTTGGATTGCATGTATAATTGGACAGTGCCCAGACTGCCAGTGAAGAAGGAAGTTTTGGAAACCATGTGATATGTGGAGGTGGTCAGGCACTGGGATATGAGTGACCTAACGTGGGGCTGGAGGTAGAATGGGGTTTGATTGTAGTGGTTTTTTTCAATGTTCAAATAACGGAAGGCCTGTCTTATTAAAGAATTAATAAGAATTTCTTGAGATTGTTTCAGGGAAACTAGGACTACTTGGTAGAAATTATGGGGAGGCAGATTTTGGCTCCTTTGAATAAGAAATATATTACAATTAGATCTGTTCAGTGGAGTGAGCTGCCTCAAAAAGTGACAAGTTCTCCCCCTAGCAGGTTTGGCTCAGTGGATAGAGTGTCGGCCTGTGGTCTGAAGGGTCATAGGTTTGATTCCAGCCAAGGGCACATGCCTGGGTTGCAGGCTCGGTCCCTAGTAGGGGGCGTGGAGAAAGTAGCTGATCAATGATTCTCTCACGTCGTTGATGTTTGTATCTTTCGCTCCTTCTCCCTTCCTCTCTGAAATCAATTTAAAAAAATTTTTTTTTTTTTTTTAAAGTGACAAATCTCAATTACTGGAAGTATTTTGAGAGTTATGGCCCATGTGTTAAGATATTAAATAAGGGACCTTTTACTGGATAACTAGAAGTTGTAATAGATGGCCTTTTAGGTTCCTTCAGCTACAAGTTTCTGAATCTGAGGGGGGGAAATGGAGTGAACATATAGTTTACGGATTGCAAAGGGGACAGTCCTTTTTTTTTTTTAACTCTTCACCTGAAGATCCTTTTTTTCCTACTGATTTTAGAGCGAGTGGAAGGGAGGAAGGAATGGGAGGAGAGAGAAACATTGATGTGAGAGAAATACATTGATGGATTGCTTCTCACGTGGCCCAAAAGGGCAGGAGATTGAACCTGCATCCTAGGTACATGCCCTGGACCAGGAATCGAACCTGCAACCCTTAGATTCTTGGGCCAATGCTCCAACCACTTGGCCAAACTGGCCAGGGTGAGGACAGTCTTTTTTCAAGTATCTCTTTCAAGCTGACTAATTATAGATCAATGGCACAACTGTTGTTAGCAACAGAATCTTTGAGAGCAATGTTGTATTTTCCAGGATATCTGGCTAAAGTTTTGAGGAAATCATTAATTTCCTTTTTTAAAGTACACTAAATCTTTTTAACTTTGTATTTTATGAGACATTTTTGAGTGTGTAGACATCACATTTGGTGGAAGTGATGGCCGTGTTTTGAATATTAAGTAATGTATTCACTTAATTTTCTCAATAATTCTGTGAGGGATATATTATTATTGCCTTAAAGATAAAGTACTACAACTTAAGTCATTTTCCCAGAGTTTCTCTGCTAGACGTTGGTGTAGCTGGCACTTATACCATTGGCCTACTTGCAGAGGCAGAACTAGCTAGAGCAGGCAGTTACGGCTCAGGTGAAGGTAGTGCTATACTTAGATATTAGAATATGGCATTTGAGCCTGGAGTCTACCATTGTCTGTTACCTTAAGTGAGTTCCATCTTCCCCTGAACCTCAGTTTACCCAAAGTTATCCTGGAGATTAAATGAAGTTATATGTGAGCACAGTCTTAAACTTTAAACTATAAAAAGAGTTAAGATGTGGATATTATCAGTACAGAAGTAAGACAGAGCCCAAATTTGATCCAACTCCTAGGCCAGGAGATCTTTGCAGGGGTACTTAATACCAGATTAGAGGTCCAGAATGATTTTTGTACACTAAGAGGATCTCAGAGAGCAATACATACTACCGTCTCCCTGCAGTCAGATTTGTATGATCCTTTCATTGAACAGTTTCATGAGTTAACTGGGTAGTAAGATACATAGAATGCTACATTATTTAAAAGATAAAGGGTTTGCTATTGTTGTTTATTATTATTTTTTTTAATAAATTTAATTTAGAGAGAGGAAGAGAGAGAGGGATAGTGAGCTAGAAACGTCAATGATGGGAGAGAATCATTGATTGGCTGCCTCCTGTACATTCCCTACTGGGGACCGAGCCTGCAACCCAGGCATATGCCCTGTCCAGGAATTGAACTGTGACCTCCTGGTTTATGGGCTGCCATTCCACTACTGAGCTACACCAGCTGGGCGAAATTTTCTTATGTGTGAGGCTTGAGAAATATAATATGTAGCTGAAATAGAAGAATCAGGATTATTGCTTTTTTTAAGTTTAAGATTTCTTAAAGTAAGTTTAATGCACTCCCATCAGATTTTTTTGTATCATAGACTTATTCTTTGATGTTGAATACTTTCATGTGTTTTTATTACTTTCAGTAAAGGTTATCCATTAAATATATAACTTAGATGTGATCTCTTAAATGCCCCATAAGTGACCTAATTAAATAATAAGTTAGAAAATATAGTCACTGAGACTTTGTTAGATAATACTTTCCTGTTATTAATTTTGGGATCACTTTGCATTGGAAAAAAGTAATACTAAAGAGTCTTTTAACTTATTTTTAGAAGTTCTTTATTAAGAGCCTTCCCCCCCCTTTTTCTCCTTTAAGGTCTTGAGTTCCTACTTAAAGATGTTCTTCGCCCGAACGCAGTCTTTCCTGTTGGTTAAATAAGACATCTGCCGACACTGCCTGTTGGTCCTCTTTTTAACTTCTTAAGGATGGATGTTTGTAAGATGTTGCTTACTATGTTCTGGAGTACTCTGGCCATTTGTTGAATTGCAAATGACTTTTACATGTGCAAGTTCAGTTAAATACAAGGAGAACCTCTATGGGTAACTTTTGTGTTGAAGAAGTCATTTGTCAACCATGGTAAAACTTGCAAACCCACTTTATACAGAGTGGATTCTTGAAGCTATACAGAAAATAAAAAAGCAGAAGCAAAGGCCCTCGGAAGAGAGAATCTGCCATGCAGTCAGTACTTCCCACGGGTTGGATAAGAAGACGGTCTCGGAGCAGCTGGAGCTCAGCGTTCAGGATGGCTCGGTTCTCAAAGTCACCAACAAAGGCCTTGCCTCCTACAAGGACCCAGACAACCCCGGGCGCTTCTCCGCGGTCAAACCGGGCACTTTTCCCAAGTCAACCAAGGGGGCTAGAGGAACGTGTAGCGATCTTCGCAACGTGGATTGGAACAGACTTCTAAGGAGAGCAATCGAAGGGCTGGAGGAGCCCAGCGGCTCCTCCCTGAAGAACATAGAGAAGTATCTCAGAAATCAGAGCGATCTCACCGGCACCACCACCAACCCGGCCTTCCAGCAGCGGCTGCGGCTGGGGGCCAAGCGCGCGGTGAACAACGGGAGGTTGCTGAAAGACGGGCCGCAGTACAGGGTCAATTATGGGAGCTCCGACGGCAAAGGGGCTCCCAAGTTCCCCAGCGCCTTCCCATCCTCGCTCCCACCTGTCAGCCTTCTGCCGCATGAGAAAGACCAGGTAAGTGAAGAGAGAATGTTCATGCATTCTCAATATTGCCCATTCACCTTGTCTAGTATAGTTTCAGCTAAATTTTGTAAGGACCAAAGTTCTGAGTCAAGTCTGACTGTCTTACGATATGAAGTGTTCTGTATTGTTTTACAATATATTGAGGAGTTCTTTGTTGGTGGTTTAAGAATTTAATGTGGTTTTAGTGATTTGTGTTTTTTTTTAAAAATATGTTTTTATTTATTTCAGAGAGGAAGGGAGAGGGAGAAAGATATAGAAACATCAGGGATGAGATTCATTGATTTGCGGCATCCTGCACGCCCTCTACTGGGGATCAAGCATGCAACTTGGGCATGTGCCCTGCAGGGAGTCGAACCTGGGACCTCTTGGTCCATGGGGTGTTGCTCAACTCACGGAGCCACCACAGCCCGGCTGTGATTTGTTTTTTTAAACTCTAATTATTAACCTGCTAACCGATGAGCTCTTGAAGAGATCAGGATAGATAATTTTAATCCTCCTTCCTCAAGGCAGGATCATATATATTTTTAAAAATCTAAGGAAGGCCACTGTATATTTTTCTCTTTTTATTATTTATTATTTATCTTTAGTTTTGGTTTTATTGAGGCATAATTGACATTTTCCTCTTCTTATTTTGAGAGAAGAATTTATAGGCCAATTATTTTAATACTGATAGTCTATGCATTCCTAGAATTGTTTTAATATGTGACCTAAGTTCTGCCTATTTCAACTTTAAGTCATTTATTATTGCCAACTTCTTAGAGATTGAAAGTGAATATTTTGTCTCATAACATTTCTTATACTCTTTGGTTTCTCTGGGCCTTATGCTATTTCTGTAGTATTTGTACATAGATAGCAGATTTCTCCTTAATTACTGCTATACTCTTGCTCTTTGATTGAGTGGGATTTTTCTTTGTTTTGTTTCAAAGCTACTGAAATCACTGCCCAAAATAAATAAAAATAGAGCAGTAGCAAATTGTCTATAATAATCCAAGCCCTCCAGTTTTCAAGCTTGTTGTCTGCCCTTTGTGCAGGTGGATGCATTTATATCAGTTAACTTTACGTCTTGTACAACTTTCCCCATTGGATGGCAGAGTGGCTGTAAATGTTAACTACATTTTTAGAAGTGATGGAAATAGAACTGTTAGGAAACATTGTGGGTATTTTTTCTCTTTGGATACTGCCAGCCTTTACGATTGACCTTACTTCCCCCAGTGCTTTAAGCTGATAGGGACCCAGCCCTAGAAACTGGGCAGGGCCAGGTGGTTTGCCTTTCCATGGACCACTATGAAACCTAGAGTTTATAGCTTAACTATATTTTTATTTTATTCGTTTTTCCTCAACGTTTATTTTACCCTTTGGTGGTATTTGTGTTTGTGTCAAGGACCAATTCTCAGTTCTTTGTGAGAGAATGTGGACATAAAGGAAGAAGTCAACCTATGAAATTTTCTTTTAAATAAACTTGTTTTAAAAAAATTACAGCAAATGACTCAAATCCTAATTCCAGTGTCTGACAGAGCCACACGAAGCACTTCTGTTCCTCATTTAATATTTTTATAAAAGCGTATCCCTTGAGGAGATTCCTCAAGGGAATATAGAGCCATTTCTTGATGGATTAGAATATCTTTGGTTTTAAAATATATACATTCATTACCCTAAGGTATATTAAGGTTTTATGATGATAAGGTATGTGGACTAATTCAGGCAGCTTTAGGCAATTTAATAATGTTTCAAAAATTTTGTGATCCAGGGGATATTTTTACTTGTGATAGAGGAATGACTTCAAATTTTCCACAATCCCTTTCCTTCTCTTTCACCTTGCCACCATTTCTTGCTAACCTTATCATTTTTTTTTTTTCACAGCATCTGTACTGAAGTATTTTTAGTCTAGGAAAATTCATGTCTGAAAGTGTCTAGGATTGAGAGCAGAGTAATTTATTGCTTAGCATGCAATTGTTACTGCTTTTTTTGTGATGCTGATCTTTAAATTGTCCAGTTGACACCATCATATTATAAGGAAAGCTGAGAAAATGTGTCCTAGAATTTTTGCTTGACGAGATTTGGAGATCAGTTGTATTCAGTAATTATAATCTAGTTCTTAAAAAAAAAATATCAAAAACACCCAAATAAGTGAAAATCAGGTCAAGTAATTTTGGCCACAATGTATTATTGTATGTGCCATATATTACAGTAGCATTTTTTTCTTTTAAAAAATGTAATAAAAACTACATCACAATTGTCTTTTGAGATTGCTAGTGGTAAATAGTTTAAAGCCATGTAAACTTGCTAAGTAGGTATAATAGAAATTCTTAATCTGGGCCCATGAATGAGTATGGGGAATATATACCACTAATCCCCTGAAATAGAACAGTTATGTGCATCCACATGTTTTTCTAGGGTCGGGGTCTATAGTTGTTTGTTTTTTTTTAAATATATTTTTATTGTATTCTTATTTTATTGATTATAGAGAGGAAGGGAGAGAGAGAGAAACATCAGTGATGAGAATCATCGATCGGCTGCCTCCTGCAAGCCCCCACTGGGGATTGAGTCCACAACCCAGGCATGTGCCCTTGACTAGAATCGAACTTGGGACCCTTCAATTTGCAGGCCAACACTCTATCCACTGAGCCAAACCAGCCAGGGCAGGGTCTATAGTTTTTATCAGATTCTCAGAGGGATTCAAAATATTAAATAGCCAATGTGAACAGTTTGGAATGTAGAAAATATTTTGAGTTTCTTGCCTAAAAGAAACTAATGCTAGTTTTCTTGCTTCTGCTGCTGAACTTGGATCTGTATTGGTTGTACTGTAGTTTTTGCAGGTGGAACTTTTAAAAATATATTTGAAAGACAGATTATCACTGTTCTTGTGCTAGAAGCCTGTAGCGTTTGCATTGTGGGAGGACATTTCTGATATAAATAGCAACTGTTTGTACAGAGAGAAAGTAATCTCAATTACAGTTTAGTCAACTGATGTCTTTCAAAGAAGCTGTTATTCTAGTTACTTTTGCTGAGCAGTTTCATTTAACTGTAAAAAAATTTTTTTAAAAAGTAGTAAAAATAATAACTAAAATTTCTTAAGGGTTAAATGCTGGTACTATTCCAGGTTCTGTATATTTATTATCTTCTTATCATAATAACTGTGAGGGCTATATGATATAGGTTTTTTTTGTCCTTACTGGACAGATGAAAAACTGAGGCTCAAAACCTAAGTAATTTGTCCAAGGTCACTCATAGAGCTGATGAGAGGTGAAGCCAACATTCTAACAGCCAGTCTGACTCCAGACCTTTTTATTGCTTGGCCGTCTATTGGCCCACAGTAGTGACCTTTCATTAACAGTAAAAGTATCTCTTCCAAGTTCTGCAGCTGCTTAGAAGCCATTTTCCCCGAACGAATACATTTCTGGCATTTTAAATTTGGTAGTTTTTAAAGCACATACTGTTTATAATATTTGCAATATGGGAAAGCAGTAGGGAAAACAGTAAATCTGTGTCTAATTAGATTTAACATCATCATTCCTATGCATGTCTGCTAGGAAGAGTACAATGCAAGTTAAAATAGGAGGGCTCCTTTCCTTTCTGAAATGTAATTGCACATCTTCTGATAGTCTGGAATTCAAATTGGATATTACCACACTGGCTCCCTAGCATGACTTCTTTGTATTTGTTTAAGAAAGCTCTCTTTGGTGAGGTGGTATGGAAATGAATTAAACCACTGCAGATAACACTTTATCTTTGGCTTGGTGAGGGAACTCCTAAAGGATAGTATTAGTGTTTCTCATTAAAAGTGGTAAAGCTCAATTAGGTCAGATTATGAGGACTTTGGAAAGTCAAATATTCTCAGAGAGACTCCAGTTATCACCACAGACTTTGTAGCATTAAGATTCCTTTTAACGTTGGGCTTTAGCATTTTTATAAAATCAGCTTGGTTCCATTTTAAACAGAGTCCTTGGTATTTCACTTTATTGGGAATAACTTTCTACACTTATTAAGGATCAAATCTTGGTATGTTTGTAGTATAGCAGGTAATATATGGGACCCCTCATTCTGGCTACATGATTGGAAAGGGAGATCTTCTAATATCAGGCCGGGCTTTGATTTAAAAAAATATATATATTTATTGATTTCAGAGAGGAAGGGAGAGGGAGAGAGAGATAGAAACATCAATGAGAGAGAATCGCTGATCGGCCACCTCCTGCAAGCCCCCTTACTGGGGACCGAGCCCGCAACCCAGGCCTGTGCCCTTGGTCGGAATGGAACCCGGGACCCTTCAGTCCACAGGCCAACGCTCTATCTACTGAGCCAAACCAGCTAGGTCTGATTTTTTTTTTTTAAGCAATGAAATGGTTATTAGAATCTTACAAAAATAGTCAAACATAATTACAAAACAATCATGCGTCAGTGAGAAAAGGAGTTTTAAAAGGAGCACACATGATCGGAAGCATGGCCTTGGCTTGTTCCGTTTACTCTAGCTGTCCCCCACACCCCTTTTAGGGAGATATTTGGTTAGGGTTTTTGGCAGTGATATTAGTATGAAATATTTACATAAACAGAAGATTAATGTACATCATACTTCAGTTTCTTGGGTTGTATAAATGTCATAAGTTAAAGGGCTTTATTTTTAGATTTCCTTCACTTTTCTCCATTCTATTCTCTAATCTCCTGGCCCATTATCTTTGCCCTAGAAGACGGACCCTCCTCATCTCTGAGGACTTTACCCATCGCCTGTCCTTTGTGAGGCACCATTCACTTGTCCACATTGTTCCAGCCGGGGCAGGCTTCCAGAAGTCTCTCAGCCCTCGGGGAATCATTCACAGTCTCAGACAAGACTGCCTCTTTTTTGGCAGAAGTGTGTGTATTTTTTATCTGCTAATTATGTAGAGTCCAAATGTCCTCCTCTCTGTTGTCCTTCTTAGTTTCCCTTTGAATTTGTCTCCTTTGTATTGCAGATGTCACATTTCTCAAAAAATGCTTGGCTAAGCGTGTTCAACCAAGAG